CATGGAATTTTTCACTTGAAATCAAAACAGTAACACATTCAATGAAGTATTGGTTTACTAGCTAGCTTTTTTTATTATTTTTTTTTGTGTTTGTGTGTGTGTGTAAATCACTTTTGTTTGAACTTATTTAGGTGATAAAAGGGGCAGATCTTGTAAGATTTATTCTTCTTCTGTTGCCTTTCATTTTATTTGATTTTTGATTATATGTTTTTTGTTGTATATATTTGTTTTGTTTTTAAAATGAATAAATTTCTAACAAAAAAAAAAGAGTATTGAATCCAGTATGAATACCGGTATCAGTTCTGAGTATCGAGCCATTTTGAACAAGTATGAGTAAAAATGCTGGTATCAAGCCCAATATCAGTATTGAAACACCATTAAATTTCACTATTACAGTATTATTTTTCTATTTATCTATTTTTCTGCTTTACTTCTTTGGAATCATTGTTTAACCATAAAGCCTTCAGTTTTACACTTTGTTCTGTGAAAGCTCAGAATATATCACAGTTCTATCAAGTTTTACAAGTCTTTCAAGTCAGTCAAAACAATTGAATATTTTTGATTGTAAAACTCCACAGAGTACCTATTCTTGTGTTGGTCATGTTTGTGTGTCTGATGGTGTAACGTGTTCTGGTTAATCATTTCTTTGTTTCATTCTCTGTATTTTCCAGAGGAGCCGATGTGTTTGGTGAGCACGAGCAGGCGGCAGAGCAGCTCTCGGGGTCAGGATGACACGCTCAGGGAGTCCTGGGACTCGCTCATAAAGTTCAACCAATGCCAACGTGGACGCATCTCCAACATGGAGTTTGAAGGGGACATTTTCGATGAGTTTCTTCAGCGTCAGGGACGTGGTCACCCCACACTCCCAATAAATCCTCCTACAGCACCCAGAAGCCCACTGTCCTCCCTAAATGCTCAGGGGCTCCTGAACGAAGGCCCCGATGATGATCCCTTCATGGAGCGGGAGGAGGAGTTTGAGATCCCGGTTCTGCCACAAGGCCAAAAGCTGGTAATTAAAATCCTGTCCACATGGGGGGATCGGCATTATGTGGGTCTCAATGGCCTGGAGGTGTTCAGCTCCAGTGGAGAGCCTCTTCGACCCGACCACATCCGCGCAGACCCCCCGGATATAAACATTCTCCCAGCTTATGGTAAAGATCCACGTGTGGTCACCAACTTACTTGACGGTGTTAATCGCACTCAGGACGACATGCATCTTTGGCTGGCACCTTTTACACCCGGCCGTAGCCACACCATCTTCCTGGACTTTGGAGCTTCTTACCAAGTTGCAATGATCCGAGTTTGGAACTACAACAAGTCCCGCATCCACTCATTCCGCGGTGCGAAAGAGGTGGAGATGCTGCTGGATGGGAGGTGCATCTTCAGGGGAGAAATTGCCAAAGCCTCTGGAACTCTTACTCACGGTACTTCACCAGAAAACTGTCCCAAATTCATTCTGTCGTCCTCTTGTTACTTTGAAACCAGAGTTGCATAAAGTACCACAAAGTGATACTTGAGTAACTGTACAAGTATCTTACCAAAGTTGCATAAAGTACCACAAAGTGATACTTGAGTAACTGTACAAGTATCTTACCAAAAAATTACTTTGGTAAAAGTTAAAGTCTTCGTTAGGAATATTATTTGAGTAAAAGTATTAAAGTATCTGATATTTTTTTGTACTTAAGTATTAAAAGTAAAAGTATTGGTTTAAAATGAGGAGT